CACTTGCAAATTTCATTCATGCCTGTAGTCTTTAATTCTTTGTCCGCAAAACATGTTCAAGCATGAGGTACTTCTCCGACCTGCACTTTTGGAAATGCATGTTGCCAATGTTTGCCGGTAAAATCGAATTTTTTTTAAAGCACCTAATATTATCCAATAGCATTCTCATAGCGTTCGAACGGAGATGGAAGATATAAAAAGAGCGAGCAAAACATTTGCAAGCTTTGCAAAATTTTGGACTTTCGACATGAACAATTGCCCGAAATTGTCATGCTGGTCAAAGTTTCAGATTTGGTGATTTCTACAAGTGCATTTTTTCCGTGCTTTGCCTTTGCCGGGTAAAATATTTTGCTTGGCAGCACGTAATAGCATTTGCTAATGCTTAACAGCGCTTAATCGTGCAGAAATGGGGCCAAAACCTAGCAAAAAACAAGGTGGGCCAGAGAGCCCAAAAGCAAAACGGCACACAGCACACTTTTTTAAACAAATCTTGTGGTGTGGGCAGCTGCGCTCTGCACGAAATCGACGCAAGATCTTTATTGCAACATCGTGCGCGCTGATGGCATCAGGAGGCGCAATTCACCACAGCATGCTGCGTCAGCTACGTCTACATTCTTCTATCTGCTATTTCTGCCAATGTAACTCTATCCCATCTTTCTAGTCGCTATTTATGCCTGGGTTCTCCTTTATTTTGCTTCGCAGCAAGGGGAGCGAGGACGAAGCGAGGACAGACAGAACACCGTGCGAAATGAAAACTAAACCACAGTGTGGCCCGAAAGAAGAGCAGGTGGGAGTTGACCAAAGAGCATCAAAACGAAGATATGAAGATGAGAGATGATGAATGATAATGAAAAATGAAACATGATGAAAGATGTGTAAAGACTTTTGTATGCAAGCTTTTTTGCGTAAAAGCTACTGTGTGTAAACGCGTCTGTGCGTAAAAGCTTCTGTGTGTAAAAGCTCCTCTGTGTAAAGTTTTTCTGGTGAAAAAAACTTCTCTGTGTAAAAGCTTCTGTGCATAAAAGCTCCTCTGTATAAAGGTTCTTTTGTGTAAAAGCTTCTGTGTGTAAAAGTTTCTGTGTGTAAAAGTTTCTCTGTGTATGGGTGTTTTTTGTGAAAAAGCTTCTGTGTGTAAAAGCTTCTGTGTGTAAGAGTTTCTCTGTGTAAAGTTTTTTTTTGTGTAAAAGCTTCTGTGTGTAAAAGCTTCTGTGTGTAAGAGTTTCTCTGTGTATTTATTGTAAAAAACGGCTGTGCGTAAAAGCTCCTGTGCATGAAAGTTCTTCTGTGTAAAGGTTCTTTTGTGTAAACGCGTCTGTGTGAAAAAAAATATGTGCATAAAAGTTCCTCTGTGTAAAGGTTCTTTTGCGTGTGTAACAGTTTCTGTGTGTAAGAGTTTCTCTGTGTAAAGGTTTTTTTTTGTGTAAAAGCTTCTGTGTGTGAGAGTTTCTCTGTGTAAAGTTTTTTGTTTGCTTAAAAGCGTCTGTGTGTAAAAGCTTCCGTGTGTAAAAGTTTCCTTGTGCAAAAGCTTCTCTGTGTAAAAACTCTCTGTAAAAGCTCCTCTGTGTAAAAGCTGCTCTGTGTAAAAGGCTACTTCTCTGTGCAAAAGCCTCTGTGTTTGCGAGCTTCTCTGTGTGAAGACTTTTCTGTGTAATAGCTACTCTGTGTAAAAGCTTCTGTTTGCAAAAGCTTCGCTGAGCAAACGCGTCCGTGTGTAAAGCCTCCTCTGTGTAAACGCATCTGTGTGTAAAAGGTTCTGTGCAAAAACTTCTCTGTGTAAACGCCTTTTTGTGCAAAGGCTTCTGTGTGTAAAAGCTTCTGTGTGCAAAAGTTTCTGTGTGTAAAAGCTTCTGTGTGTAAAAGTTTCTTTGTGTAAAAGCTTCTGTGTGTCAAAGCTCCTCTGTGTGTACAAGCTTCGCTGTGTAAAAGATGCTCTGTGTAAATTTTAACGGTTTCTGTGCGCCCTAAAGGTGACTGTGTGTAAAACCTTCTGTGTGTGTGTGAACGCGTTTGTGTGTAAAAGCTTCTTTGTGCAAAAGCTCGTGTGTGTGTGTGCAAAGTGTAAAGGCTTCTCTGTGTAAAAGCTTCTGTGTGTAAAAGCTTTCCTGTGTAAAAGTTTCCTTGTGCAAAAGCTTCTGTGTGTAAAGGCTTCTCTGTGAAAAAGCTCCTCTGTGTAAAGACTTCTCTGTGTAAAAGCTCCTCTGTCTAAAAGCCACTCTGTGTAAAAGCTTCTGTGCGTAAAGGCTTCTGCGCGTAAACGCGTCCATGTGTAAAGACTCCTCTGTGTGAATGCGTCTATGTGTAAAAGTTTCTGTGTAAAAGCTCGTCTGCATAAAGGCTTTTTTGTGTAAACATTCTGTGTGTGTAAGAGCTTTTCTGTGTAAAGTTTACCTGTGTAGTTGCTTTCCCGTGTAAAGCTTCTGTGTGTGAGGCTCCTCTGTGTGTAAACGTTTCTGTGTGTAAAAGCTTCTGTGTGTAAAAGTTTCTGTATAAAAGCGTCTGTGTGTAAAAGCTCCTCTGTGTGTACAAGCTTCTCTGTGTCAAGGCTTCTCTGTGTATAGACTTCTCTGTGCAAAAGTTACTCTGTGTAAAAGCTTCTGTGTGCAAAAGCTTCGCTTTGTAAAGGCTGCTCTGCGTAAAAGTCTCTGTGCGCCGTAAAGGCCTCTGTGTGTAAAACCTTCTGTGTGGAAACGCATCTATGTGTAAACGCTCCTGTGTGTGAGCGATTTTGTGTAAAGACTTCTCTGTGTAAAAGCTCCTCTGTCTAAAGACTTCTCTGTGTAAAAGCTACTCTGTGTGTGAAAGCTTCTGTGCGTAAAGGCTTCTGTGTGTAGACGCGCCCATGTGTAAAGACTCCTCTGTGTGAATGCGTCTGTGTGTAAAAGCTTCTGCGTGTAAAAGCTCCTCTGCGTAAAGGCTTTTTTGTGTAAGAGCTTCTGTGTGTAAAAACTTTTGTGCGTAAGAGCTTCTAAGGGTCGGGTAAAGGCTTTCCCGTGTAAAGCTTCTGTGTGCGAGGCTCCTCTGTGTGTAAACGTTTCTGTGTGTAAAAGCTTCTCTGTGTAAAGGCTTTCCCGTGTAAAAGCCTCTGCGTGTAAAAACTCCTCTGTGTGTAAACGTTTCTGTGTGTAAAAGTTTCTTTGTGTAAAAGCGTCTGTGTGTAAAAGCTCCTCTATGTGTACAAGTTTCTCTGTGTCAAGACTTCTCTGTGTAAAGACCTCTCTGTGTAAAAGTTTCTCTGTGTAAAAGTTTCTGTGTGTAAAAAGTTTCGCTTTGTAAAAGCTGCTCTGTGTAAAAGTTTCTGCGCGCCGTTAAGCCGTTAAGGTGTCTGCTTGTAGAACTTTCTGTGTGTAAACTCGTTTGTTTGTAAAAGTTTCTCTGTGTGTAAAAGTTCCTCTGTGTAAAGACTGCTCTGTGTAAAGGCGCCTGTGTGTAAAAGCTCCTCTGCGTGAGACTTCTTAGTGTAAAAACTTCTGCGTGTAAAAGTTTTCCTGCGTAAAAGTTTCTCTGTGCAAAAGTTTCTGTGTGTAAAGTCCTCCCGGTGTGGAAGTTTCTCTGTGTAAAAACTTCTCGATCTGTGTAAAGCTCCTCTGTTGCCAACAACCGTGCATTTTTAGCGCCGCTCCCGCCCAGCAGAGCTCTCCCCAAGCTATTTCCCCACCTGTCTGTTCACGCTGACGCAACTCCTATGCTTGGGTTTTCGTTTAGTTTGCTTCGCTGCGAAGGGAGCGAAGACGAAGCATCGACGGACAGAACGTCGTGCCAAATGAAAAAAACATACGGGTATGAGTTCCCCTTAGGATTTCAAGGGGGTTAACCCCCCTATAGAGGATGGATTTTCTACAGTTCGAAAAGCACGAATTTGCTTATATGATGCTTTCGAAGTTCCCCCATGTTTCTACAGAATTTTTGGAGACCTCTGAGTCGCAAGATACTGATTTTGCTGGATAATTTAGGTGCCCTCAATCCAGAAGCATAATGTGAGCATATGTGGCTCTAGAAAAAGGGTAGCAGTAATTTGACGTGGCTTACAAGATATTTCATATCGTATTTGCAAGAATATGCAATTCAAGTACGGCGGTGTTTTTCTAAGTAAAATATGCTAAACATAGCTTCTAAAATGCACTTCTTATACGTGGTCGTTTTTCTAGGATACCAAAATTGGTTTGATGTCTGCTGATAGATTTTCTTGGGCCCCTAATTTATATCGCCTACATTTTCTAGTAGAAAAACACATGTGCCAACCGGACCAGGCGAACTGGTACAGGTATAAAAAAAAAACCTCCAGCAACGAATCTTTCCCGATACATGTCCCATTGCCCGGCGTTTAGAAACCATTTGACAAGTCTTGGGCGCACAGTTTTTCCGCACAATCGCGTCGGTGGAATTTGTTCTGAAAAAACCATGCCAACAGCTCTGCTCTTTTAGCGTCGCTCCCTGCCAACGAAGCTATGCATGTCACATGGCCGAGGAATGTGTTTTTTGTAGACTGTAGACCTTTTTTCTGCCTAACTCTGGAAATTTCACCTGCTTCTAAATTCTCGCCCGGAGGGGTTTTCTACAATTTTGCTCAAGATTGCATTTCAAGCGTGAATGGACAAT